TTGTCTCCTCCTCCTTTCCTACCTCTTTCTCCCCCCTGCCTGCTCCCCCCCCCCAACATGCAGCAGGCAGGGTGAGGAGTTGAACGATTACTCCCTGGCCTGGATAGGTGGGCAACCATAGGTGGGTGAGCAAGCATGGGGGGATATTGCAATGCAACAAGAATCTCTTGCCTACACAGATAAGTGAGCATTATTCCAAGGAGTCCTGCAGATCCAAAGCATCAAATGTTGGATCCAAAATATGCAAGTGTGGTATAGGCTACCAAAATATGTAGAAGTGATTCCTCCTCCTCCTTTTCTTTTTAAATGACTTGTGGCTTGCTTCCTTAGCTGCCTGTAAAAAAGCTGCTGATGCCTGGTTATTTTGTGGGGGGTTCTGAGCTCTTGAACCAAGAGAGAGAGAAGCTTATGAATAATGCAACTTCAGCGAGCAAAGGGATTAATGAAAGCACAACCCATTTGGTCCGATGGAGGCAGAGTCCTCATTGGGTGCCTCTGCCAACTGAAAACATTAAAGAGGCCACTGAAAACTCCTGTAAACTATGCGTATAATTATTGGTGCCTCGTCTTGTGGACTTTGCGCAAGAAAATGGAGCAAGCAAGGAATGGTGGTTGAGATGCGCTTGCATTTCTCTCCTAGAGCGCAGGCCTGGTTGTGTTGTGCAGATGGAAACATACGTCCTGGATGTTGGTGGAATAGCGACTGTAGTCGCAGGACTAAGTAAGTAATGAAGAAAAGGGTGGTGGGAATTAGCACATTGAAAAGCGCCTCTTGTGTGGAAAGTCCTTGACCCCGCCCCCGAAATTGGCTGTGTCTGTTTTGAGTCATTTCATTTCCAAGAAACCTTTCTCCTCCTCCTCCTTCCCTTAACATGACCTGCAAAAAGCCCATGCAGGAAATGGCTGCAGATTACTCGACTACCCCTCTGGCCAAGCCATGTGAAATGAATGCCTGATAATGATGAGAGAGTGTCTAAAGGAACGGCTCCGTAAACAGCAGTGAGCTTTTAATCTAACCACTATCCAGTCATCTGCACTTATTTTCCGCTCCTTCCCACCACCTCCTTTTCCCAGCAGGCATAAAACCTTGTAGCCATTAAAGTGGTGCTGAGGGGATCCTTCAGACAATGGAAGGGGCGCCGAGTGGGACAAAAGGAGTTCAGATGCGCTCTTGTCTCTTGGGCAAGTGGAGAAGCGAGGGGAGTTCTTGTAAACGGCAGTGGAACTGGTGTGTCTTGGATGATGCTGACAATTAGTAGTGTCCTGCTGGTTTTTCTGAAACAAACCAATACAAATACCCTGCATAAAGAGGCTAATATTGCTTTGTGTTAATCATCTCCAGCATGTCATTCAATCATGCAGAATATTTACCACTTTGTTGTTGTTGTTTAGTCGTTTAGTCGTGTCCAACTCTTCGTGACCCCATGGACCAGAGCACGCCAGGCACTTCTGTCTTCCACTGCCTCCCGCAGTTTAGTCAGACTCATGCTGGTAGCTTTGAGAACACTATCCAACCATCTCAGCCGCTTCATCCGCTCTGAATCTACTTGTACTTGCCCTCCGCTCTTCCTCAGTAGCATGTTGGACGCCTTCCGACCTGAGGCGCTCATCTTCCAGCGTCATAACTTTTATATGCCTGTTGCCTTTGTCCATGGAGTTTTCTTGGCAGGGATACTGAAGTGGCTTGCCAGTTCCTCTTCCAGGTGGATCACGTTTGGTCAAAACTCTCCACTATGACCTGTCCATCTTGGATGCCCTGCTTGGCATAGTTCATAGCTTCTCTGAGTTATTCAAGCCCCTTCGCCACGGCAAGGCAGTGATCCATGAAGGGGATTTACCACTTAATTCTGCCTATTGCCCCAAACAGTTATATTAATATGACAGCCTTCTCTCCAGCAACATGGTTGGAAGTGAAATCCTACATGCTATGAATCGAGGAATAGGATAGCTAGTATGGCAGAGCTGTGTATGGTCAGTGTTTGGATGGGAGGCTACCAGGGAACTCCTTGTACTTAGCTCAGCTCCTAGAAGGAAGGAGCGATATACAACTGTAATGTGTGAAAGGTTCACAGCCATGTGGCTGCCATCGTCTAATTTGTATTTACTATGGCAATCCCTGGTGCACCTATAGTGCTGATATACCTATGGTAGGAAATAGCTCCAATTCTGTGTTGGTTAGGAGCTGTTACCTCTCTCTGTAAATCAACTTGCACCTGTCTGAAAGCTTCTCACATGTGAAGGCTACCTACAGATGACCTGGCTTCTAGCAGTAGCCTTATTTGAGTCTCGAAGGTACATATGGACCTATCGCTTTCTGGCAAGAAGATTGAAGGCCAGCAACGAGCTAATGACTATGAAGGGTGTTGTTTCCTGCCATTTCTAAAAAAGCAAGAGGCTCTCAAAGCTTACGGTGGTCTGCAAGTGAGAGGATGACCTGGCAATCTAAATTCCAGTATATGATGCTTGTCTCTGAAGGCACCAGGCTAAAGCATGAGGTGATTGAATCTAATCAAATCTAGTCGAAAGCCACTTCTGCATTATTCCCCACCTTGTAAGTCATGTCAGGGGTGCCATAGCAGTAGATTCCCTACATCAACAGGGGATCACACAGTTGGTTTCCACAACTATCCACTTACTCTTACCAGGCTCTCAAGAGTCCTTCCATCTCTGCTGCTACTCCTGTGCAATTTGCCCCTTAAGCACATCCTTTCCCCATCATTGGAATAGCTGAAATTTCCCCATCTTCATCCCAATTGATGCAGTTGTGAAGCATCTGCAAAACTGCTAGCAACCAGTGCTGGAAAAGAACATTATTTCCAGTGTCTCCAGCTGAAAACCATTTTATTTGACCCTCCTCCAGTTGCTTGATTTTTGGCTGTGGAGATCCTACCACCTTTCCTTTGATAAAAATTAAAGAGGCCATTGAATGTGCAATGACTGCTAAAGTGGCTGTGGAAGGTGGTGGTGAGGTGAAACAGAGCAATTCTTGAGGTGGAAACCAGGAGAAACATCAAGACCAGTTGCTTGCTTTTAACAAGCAAGTGGCCATATTCTCTGGCTGCCCCATTGGTTAAGAGGAAAACTCTGCACATGCATTTCTGCAAAGACACCAGATCCCTCTCTTGTATTTTGTGTCTGCTCTTTACTCTTGATATATTCCTATGCATCTTGGTTCTTCTGTGTTCCAACCTGGATCATCTCAGCTGGGCTGCTGCCTGGCACTCCTGTTTTTGTAGCTTCTGGCCTTGCAATAAAAGCTCAAGAGCCTGGTTGTTTGTACCTGTCAGCTTGTTGTTGTAAGCCCAAGACAGCAACAGCATGTAAAATACTTCTCCTCCTCCCCCCTTCTGCCACATCACTAACAAGACCCGACCCCCCCCCCCAATTTTCTTTATTGGGAAGTGTCAACAGATTAGTGGAGAATCCCTCTGTGCGGACAAAAACCTGCCACAAAAGGCATTAGGCTTTCAGCTATTGGATTACCACGTGGCCACCTGTCAACTGACTTTGTAAATGTATCTGTCTCCAAACTGTTTTTCACATTAGAAGGCTGAGGTGTTTTTTTCTCCAGGAATGTGTGTTGCTAAATGACTATTTCAGCATCCTGCGTTTAAGCCTTTTTGGAGGGTGAGGGAGGAGTTGAGGAGATTAAAGCTGTCTTGTGCAAGAACACTAATGTAATAAAATTTTAAGTGGTTAACGGGCAAAGCGGGCCAGTCTGTCTGCACGGTAAATACATTACTTCACCTAGCACCAGGTGCCTTGTGGGGAAAATCTTTATGAAAGGAGTTCTCTAGCTCCTAAGAGTTCCTTTGTCTGAGATGGTTCTAGGAGGTAGGGCTCTATTGCTACCTGAAGCAGTATGCATGGAAAGGGTGTGTGTGGGGGGGTGCTTGCATCTCCTGAAGAGACTTTTTTTCTTGGACTTCTGTGACCATGCCCCCAATTTAGAAAATATTGGTGATTGTCAAAGGTTTGTTTTTTGACAGAACCTACATTCTTTGAATGAGCAGCATCATTCAGTTGATCACCTGAATCACATTTAAAGTCATATAGTGAAATAAGCTGTGGTGAGCCTCAGACATAAACTCTGTTCCCCTCCTCATCTCCTCTCGTGCATACAAGGAGATGGGTGCATGGGCGTAGCTGGGGTGGGGATGCATGGGGGCCGCTCCCCCCCCTCAGATCCAGTAAATAAATAAAAATACTTAACTGACCAATTGCATGGCAGATACCTTGGTTCTGCCTCCCCAACATAGTCTGCCTCCCCTAAAATCAGTCATTGCTATGCCCATGGATGGGTGGACATTTTAGAACAAACTGTTATTCATGAAGGTGGAACTCTTGGTTCATTCCAACCAAGGGAAGCTTAACTCAGCCAGAGTTGAAATGTGGTGGGCACCAAAATTTAAGCAAGTTATACAGCGGTACCTCGGGTTAAGAACTTAATTCGTTCCAGATAATTCGCTCTTAATTCGTTCCAATTCATTCTTAACCTGAAACAGTTCTTAACCTGAGGCGTGCTTTCACCAATGGGGCCTCCTGCTGCCGCTGCACCGCTGGTACACAATTTCCATTCTTATCCTGGGGCAAATTTCTTAACCTGGAGCAACCACTTCCTGGTTAGCGGAGTTTGTAACCTGAAGCGTCAGTAACCCGAAGCGTCTGTAACCTAAGGTACCACTGTATGTGGCACAGCTCATAATAAAACTTCCTGAAAAACCTCCTGAAGTAGGAGTGCTTAAGATACCTCATGTGAAGTGATTCATAAATGAAATAAACAATGTCATTATGGAAGAGACCTTTGGGTACATCTTGGCCTTTTGATTCACGATGTACTTAAGTCTGAAATGATGCTCTGTTGTTCCTTGGCTGAGTAAGTAATCTTGCTGGGTATTGTCAGTACCAAGAACTGTAAAAGAGTGCTGTAATTAATGCCCATTAATGTTTCTAACCACTCTGTGCTTTTCTTCTCCCTCCCTCTCTCTCCTCTTTGGCAGGGATTTGATGCCAAGAACTCTCGATGGGCAGATCACCATGGAGAAAACTCCCAGCTACTTTGTCACCAAGGAAGCCCCGGCTCGCATCTCTGCCATGTCGAAGGGCACCAAGCTCATTGTGGTGGTGAGAGACCCGGTCACCAGAGCCATTTCTGACTACACGCAAACTCTGTCCAAGAAGCCTGACATCCCCACCTTTGAGAGCCTGACCTTCAAAAACAGGACTACGGGCCTCATTGATACCTCCTGGAGTGCCATCCAGATTGGCATTTACGCCAAGCACCTGGAAAACTGGCTCCTGTACTTTCCCATTGGGCAGATCCTCTTTGTCAGTGGGGAGAGGCTAATCAGTGATCCGGCTGGTGAGTTAGGCCGAGTCCAGGACTTTCTGGGCCTCAAGAGGATCATCACGGACAAACACTTCTACTTCAACAAAACCAAGGGTTTCCCATGCCTGAAAAAGGCTGAAGGCAGCAGCAAGCCCCACTGCTTGGGCAAAACCAAGGGGCGGACCCACCCCAACATAGACCAGGAAGTGGTCCAGAGGCTGCGGGAATTCTACAGGCCCTTCAACATGAAGTTCTACCAGATGACTGGACATGACTTTGGCTGGGATTGATGGTTTAATGCCGACGTTCTTGCCAGAGTTAATCCCCTCATTTCAGCTTGCTATACCCCTTATATATGTAGATAGGTCTATATGTAAAATGTACAGAAATCTATTTTATAATAATTTATTTTTAATTCTTAAGCAATTAATTCACTAAGCTGCCTAACCACACTGTAGCAGCCCATAGCTGTGTTTTTAACATTCCACAGTGCTGAATCCTTACTCTGCTCTTTCTCTTTTTTGTAGCCTGGTTCAGTTTGTGCTGGAAAGTGCTTCCAAGTATCTTCTATGAGAAAAATTAATATAAAAAGAAAGGTTGGTGGGTAAGGGAGAAAGAATTTTTAAAAGCACAATTTTTATTTTCCAATACGGGTACTAGGCATTTTGAAACACTTTTGTGAAAGGCCCTCCAGCTAGCATATTTTGCCTTCCCTCTTCCAGATCAACCCACTTGCAACTGAGTTTTTGGTTGGCTATGAAATTTCGTGGAACTCAAAGCATTTAGGCCTAGCTTAAGCCTTTACAGGTGGGCATGGCACGAGTGCAGAAGGAGATTCTCTCCAGCCATATAGCTGCTGCTGCCTGTTTCTCAGATATGTTTTCCTGGATGTGTACAACTCTCTCTCCTTGTAGAAAGCTTTGCTACAGTAGTTACTGAATGTTCTACAGTTTTTCCTTCTGCTTTCTTGACCTTTAAGCAGATTTCCTGGACTGACAACTATGCATATTTGGTCCAGCTTTAACATGTTCCTGCTGAAAATGTGAAATGCTTCCTTCGGGCACAATTCATACAGGGTGCTTCTTCTTCTTTTTTTAAAAAAGCTGGTCTTGCAGAAGAAGACCATGCAGTCTGAACTTGTATGGTGAACCACTCCCTGCTATAACTGAATGATAGGCCTGATTGCTGATAGCCCTGCAGTCAGGGTGCTCTCAGATTAGAACATGCAGAGTTACATGCCTCATCAGCCTTTTTCTAAGAGAGTTAATTAAATCCCCCCCCTCCGCTGGTGCTGAGCTGAAAGTTTTGGACTTTCATATGGGGTCAAGTGGGATGTGGGGGGAAGTATGCACTTCATTAAACCCTTGAGAGAGGGGTTGGAAATGATCATGCAGGGACCATAGACAGTCTGAACCTTGCCAAAGAATTTCACCCCCCCCCCAAGACTAGCAAACAGCCTATTCCTGCCGCTGCCCTCAATCACATTATGCTAAGGTGAATTGAATGTAACATCTTGGCACATTTTAATTGGACCTCCAGGAGAATTGCTCCCAATGTAGGTACTTCATGGCAACTTGAGAAGGTTGGGCATGTCTGACTAATGTTGCGGTGAGTGAGCTACCATCTTGTATTAAAACCTCTGTTCAGCTGCGCTCTTTCTCTCTTTCTCTTTCTGTGTGTGCTTCAGTTCTCAACACATTCTTGAAGTGTCCCACATTGGACACACCTTGAACAATGTGGGCATAACTGTCAGATTTATTTTGAGAAGTAACTGCATATGGAATGTGGGATTCCTCAGAGGGCTGTATACAATTTGTGTGTGCATGAGCACATGCACATTATTCTAAGGACGTAGACATTCATATGAACGTTCAGCCTCTGTGTTGGCCATCTTTGGACCTATGATGTTTACTATCACCTGCTGGTGAGGCAGCACTCTAGGACAGGCTTCCCCAATCTTGCACCCTCCAAATTTTGTTGGTTGGCAACTCCCATCACCCCTGACCATTGGGCACCGTGGCTGGGGGGATGACCGGAATTCCAAAAACATCTGGAGTACCAGAGGTTCCCCTTCCTGATTTACATGTTGAGCACTACAGAAGACATTAAATAGACCCCTTGCTATAGATCTCACTCCATCCTTTACACCAGGGTTGGTCAGCATGGTGTCCTCCAGATGTTGCTGAACCACAACTCCCACAATCCCATGCTGGCTGAGGCTGATGGGAGTGGGATTTCAAAAAAACCTGGAGGAATGCTACTATAGAAAAAGTTGCTTGAACCCACCTTCTTCCTACTAAAGTGAGATGCAACACATGTGTCCTTAGCTTCCTCTTTCTGGACCCCCCCCCCCTAGAATCTGTGACATGCTTATGTGATAACCACGTTGTCAAGCCATGCAGCTTCTCTTGCTCAAGGAAATTGTAGTGGGTTTTTCTTTTATAGCTCTCCTTTGTTTTCCATTTCCAAACCTTTTTCTTAGTTGGACTGCAGAACTCAGTGCTTGGACTTTCTTCTTCTTCTCCTCTGAGTAGGTTTGTAGCCTGATGCCTTCCTCTCCATTGCACAAATCAAATTGGCAAAGTAGCTATTGTATCCACAGAACCTGTTCCGAATGATTTTATGAAATAAGTTGAGTGATAACTCTGCCACTACTTCACCCTTCAGTATCTTGAACTAAATTGGCTGAGCAGACTATATAGCAGCAATATTATGAAACCAGTTAATTTAAAAGACCTTACCTACATATCATGGTAAGCATGGTGGACCTTGTACCATATGGCATTTGAAACTGTTCAAGCTAGCTTCCATACATTAACTTTTTAATGTTCACGAGAGGGTACACAGTCGAAACTCAGAGGTGTGGTTGGACTTGTTTCCCCCCACACGGTAACATTAATTTATGGCTGAGTTCCATTCAGCAGTACGTCCAGATATTAGCAATATTTTTGTGTGTGTGTTTGCTGTAACATGATACATCTTAGACTAGTCTACTTGTAAAGGAAAGCAAAATGGCAAGCAAAAACTGTAAATTGAGTATTTTGTGGTATGTACAACACAAATTAATTTTACACAGAGGTTTCTAGGAAAATGAAATTTTGATTCATACTATTTCTTTGTATGAAGAAATAAAATATATTTTACCAAACCACGGAGACCACCTCATTTTCCTTTTCAACGTGTGGGTAAACAGAAATCAAAACAAAAAGTTTGGCTATCAGAGTAATCCAAATTGGGGTCAGGGGAGTGGAGTGGTGGATAGACTAGTGCAGTGACTGCTGAGGGCAAAGGGCGTATCCTCCACTACTGTTTCATTTTTTTAAAATGTTATGTATTATTTCACTGTTTATATAATAACCCTCTCCTGGTACAAATCTCAACAGTGAAATGCAGAGTGGTTATACATACTCTTATCAGTATCGTTACACATTGCCTTGCTCCTTGCATAAAGAAGTAAAGTGCCACATGTAAAATAAAACAATTTAAATCCACAGTATAGGAAATATAAAGATGCAGATGTCCTCAGGAGAGCTCTCCATAATGTTCTGTGTTGAAGATGGATTCTCTCTGAGGTACAGATGAAATAAAGCCATACCATTTTTCATGGAAAGTGCCCCCCATTATTATTTACTGAAGGGCTCTCATCCGGCCTCTCTGAGGGGAATGGAGCAGCTTTGGATTGAGCAGATCAATGGTCAGCTCTGCTCCATCTCCATGATGCCTTGCTTTGGGAACTTACGCTGGCAACTGGCGACAGGAACACCAATAGCATTTGTGTTCTCTTTGTTGCACATTCTTTAGTAGGAGCCTTCATGATGGTGGAGCCCCCTGGCTGGACACCTCTGCCATATCCTAACCCCCTCAGTTATGGGCAATCAAGGGATCTCAGGTCTACTTTTGGGGTTATTATTCCACAGAAAGCAATATTCTACACAGGGATGTTTGGAACAAATTCTGCCCCTCAGCCCAATTTCAGAAGCCCTATATAAGCAATCGGATCTCTTGCAGGAGTACACTATCCTTCCCTTGTGGATGTACTGGGCAGAAAGAAAGAGGGGAAAAAGAAAAAGGAGTATTCAGGAAAGAGAAGGGGAATGGTTCTGCTAACTGCTGGCACAGATGGATTATCCCAGAGGGAACGAACCCCACATTTATTCATTCACTCTGAACCCCCTGATCTCAGTAGCACTGCACCGAGAGAGTGTTGTGGTGCATGTCCTCTATTTTGGTGATGCAAGGTCTCAACAGCTTCTCAAACATTTTGTGCCTCTGAAAAATAACAGGATGGCTCCAAGTACAGGATAGCTCCATTTTAAGGTGACTCTTGATAGAGACTTCATTTGCAAACAGTTCCTTGAGGTATTGCGATCAAGTTGTTAGCAACAGGTTTTTGAATTAAAAAACATCAGCCAGATTTTCCCTAGAGAGTGTAAACTGGCATTCTGATAGCAATGCTGTTGTGAACTCTGCAAAAAACAAAAACACACCGCATGCAGGAGGAGGAACAACTGTACAACAAGTACCCACGTGGAAGCACCCCTGGCCAGAGATTTGGCAGCTACTAAAGTGTTAGTGAAGAGACAAGAAGGGTTGAGACAGACCTGGACTGCTTTCCAGGTCAAAATCTCAAAGCAAACTCTACTGTTTTAAAGCCATGAATGGATGTTTATTTTTCATGGCCTACAAGTTTCCCAAACCCACCTTGAAATATATACTCTGATCGGCGATTTTGCTGGGACCAAAACAAATGCTTCATATTTTACAACATATTAAGAGATCAGTCCCTCTCTTCCCATAATAAATTAGGAGACCAGTTGCTTAATGATTAGGGAAATACAGATGTTTGTAATGCAGACACCATTTCTTGAAAAAGCAGCCTGGTTTTCATATTTGTTCTGGAGGAGGATAGTGAAAGATGCTTTTATGCTACACTTTTTTAAGGAAGGTGGGAAAGAAAATAAGCTTCTGCATATCTGGGTGTGTGCGTGTGGGGGAATGGAGCACTCCAGACAAATCCAAAATACGGGAGTCTGCAGCAACTGACCCACATGTACTTTTATCTCTCCCCCACCCCCAGCAATAAAAAAAGGACTATTAGGTTTGCAAATTAATGCAGGAAGTCACAAGCAGGTTAATAGTCTATTTTCCTCACTGAAGAGATTTGCTTCGGATCCAGTCTGACAGCCTGTGTCCTGCTGTAGCCTACCAGGTTCCTCTAGGTAAGAAGCCGCAGCTGCATCTAGACTTCTACAGGTGGTTGGGAGGGAGTGGGTAAATGTAACAGGCTTCCTCTCCTTCTCCACTGTATATTCAGGCTTGCAAACAGACCAGGCGTAGTTCAGCCCTAAGTCTCCAATTGTGTTGGAAGAACTAGTCATTCACCCTGAGATGCTGAAGTAGAGGAGAAATGGTCCAGCATGGGTTGTACCAAAAAATGATTTGTCACCATAAGGTAAAGGGACCACTGACCATTAGGTCCAGTCATGGCCGACTCTGGGGTTGCGGCGCTCATCTCGCTTTACTGGCCGAGGGAGCCGGCGTACAGCTTCTGGGTCATGTGGCCAGCATGACTAAGCCGCTTCTGGTGAAACCAGAGCAGCACACGGAAATGCCGTTTACCTTCCTGCCGGAGTGGTACCTATTTATCTACTTGCACTTTGACGTGCTTTTGAACTGCTAGGTTGGCAGGAGCAGGGACCGAGCAATGGGAGCTCACCCCATCACAGGGATTCGAACCACCGACCTTCTGATCAGCAAGTCCCAGGCTCTGTGGTTTAACCCACAGCGCCACCCGCGTCCCCTTTGTCGCCATAAACCCTTAGCTAATTGGGAGACTTGAGCCTTCCATTCAGGGAGAAGAAAACAGTGGAGCAGCATTCACAAAGCCTTGTTATTGCAGCTGATTCCCATTGTATGCCACAATCTAGGCCACCCCTACATGATCGCACCCACTGAAGACAATATAAATGGTGGTTGGGGATTGGTAGCACATTAATACGGATGTGAGGTGATAGCGGTAGCCGATCCTTCAGTGTGGCGGCCGCCTCCACTCGAGAACTTCCAGCCCATTCATAGTAAGCAGTCACCTTCACTGCATAGTTCTCAGTGCCTGCTAAAAACTTTTTTTTGCAAATGCAAGTCTCCCCAGACATGTAAATTTGACATGTATTTTACTGCATAACTGTATTTTATTATATATCTGTACAGTCATACCTCAGGTTACAGACGTTTCAGGTTGCGTTTTTTTGGGTTGCGGAAAGCCGAAACCCGGAAGTACCGGAACGGGTTACTTCTGTGTTTCGGTGGTTGTGCATGTGCAGAAGCGCTAAATTGGGCCTGGCGCATGGGCAGATGTGCCAAATCGCAACCCGCGCATGCGCAGATGCGCCACTGTGGATTACGGATGCTGCAGGTTGAAAATGTGCATCCCGCAAGGATCACGTTCGCAACCTGAGTGTCCACTGTAATTGCATATATAGCTAAATCACTGAGCCTCTTGAGTTTGCCAATCAGTAGGTCGGCAGTTCAAATCCCCATGACGGGGTGAGCTCCCTTTGCTCTGTCCCAGCTCTTGCCAATCTAGCAATTCAAAAGCATGTCAAAGTGCAAGTAGATAAATAGGTACCGCTCCGACGGGAAGGTAAACAGTGTTTTCGTGCGCTGCTCTGGTTCGCCAGAAGTGGCTTACTCATGCTGGCCACATGACCTGGAAAGCTGTCTGTGGACAAATGCTGGCTCCCTCAGCCTGAAAGCAAGATGACTGCCGCAACCCCATAGTCGATTTTGACTGGACTTAATCATCCAGGGGTCCTTTACTGTTTACCTTTACCTACCTTATATAGATATACCTGATTTTTATCAGTAATTTTAACATATATTTTATATTCTATGTAAAACACCGAGAGGCTTTGATGATGAAGCAGGATACAAATCCTGTTACATAAATTAATACAAATGTTGTTGGAAGAAGTAAATGCCCTCAAATGTCACTGCTTCTAAGGGGAGTGACATTTATTTTTAACAGGGCAATGAATTTATTTCTTGCATTCCTAAACCAATTCCCAGTAAGAGCCCTGAAGCAGTTTGCAATAAAATTAATTAAATTAACAATAAAATATGATTGCACGCTTTTGAGCTCCATACAGCATGATAAGCAAGAAGAATGACATTTGGTGCATCAGTGGCATGTAGCAGACAATGCCTCTGCAGATGTAACACTGTGGTAGTGTGGACAACTGTGAGTACCAGGAGAGGATATGCCCACTGGCATCCTTCAAGACTTAGGAAGAGATTACACACTCACAAACAACAGCAAAAGTTGCCTTATCATCAAATAAGTGATCAGTGCTGGTGATCAGGGGAACAAGTACACCGTAAGAGTAAAACCATGCAATCTGACACTTATACTTGCATTGCCAGGGCATTCTGGGCTCGTTCACACAGCCATCTGGTGGCCACAAGAAATGCCTTTTAACCAGCACTGGCCAAGGTGAGCTGTGAGTTAAATCTTGCAAATGGTGCTTCTAGGAGTTACACAGCAGCTCATCGCAGCCTGGGAATTGGCATGCACATGGTTTTCAAATGTTCATCCAGTGATTTTGAAGAATGCTGGAGTTTGGCAAATGCATTGCAGCCTTGTGCAGAAATAGTCTAGTATGACTGCTGGTTGAAAGGCAAAATAAAATGTTTTTTGTCACGGCAAAGAAAGCCCTAAGTTTAGGTTTCACCAAAATGAGATGTAGCTACTCCTGTATTGATAAATGTGCCATGGGTGTCAGCGCAAAATGGCTGCCATGGCAGCAAGAAAGAGCTACTGGTACTTTATACTGGTGAGTATACAGTGGAACCTCGGGTTACAGATGCTTCAGGGTACAGACACTTCAGGTTACAGACTCCGCTAACCCAGAAATAGTACCTCGGGTTAAGAACTTTGCTTCAGGATGAGAACAGAAATCGCACGGCGGCAGCGGGAGGCCCCATTAGCTAAAGTGGTACCTCAGGTTAAGAACAATTTCAGGTTAAGAACGGACCTCCAGAATGAATTAATTTCTTAACCCGAGGTGCTACTGTACACACATAAAGTCCTGAGTTTTAAATGTGGTAAAGATGGAACTAATAAGTTAACTCTGCATCTTGCTAGCTCATACT